CTTCAAATGCATCCAGCCTCAACAGGCGTGAAGTTCACATCACACTAGGTGGTCATTGGATATCAGAGCAATGTTCCTCAGCATGTTTCCCCTTTTTTGTCTACAAGTTCAAAGTCAGTTCTACTACTGGCTCTAAATACAGAGCAGTATTGGGAACACTCTAAACTGGAGAACGCAGAACTGGCAGGTTGTGGATTTAATGAGTGAAGTTGAATATTCCTGGTACTTGGCAACTGATTTGATCTGGTACAGCTGTCTTCGTTTTTTGGTAAAACCTGTGGAATTCCTGTTAGTGAAGAAAAAAAGACAGATGTGTTCGATGACAGGCTGCATTTCCACAAAGATGCACAGCATGCCCAGATTTCTACACAAGTTTTCCAATAAGCACCAAAATAGCATTTCACAACCAGAATGCAATCTTTAATGGGGCATACAAATTTAGCATACAGACTATATACTCTGGGGAACTGGAGTGTGTTGTTGAAAGATTTCTACAATGTCTGACAAAAATGTTAAAAAAAATTTAAGAGAATAATTTTAAGTTGTATTATCTAACAGATATTTTTGGTGAATAGTGCATTTTTTCCACCTTCTCATAAGCTGCATTGCATTGAGGGAATTGCATTTCTCCATGTTCTCTCTTATGAAAGACAGCAGGTCAATAATATAGTGTGAATTATTCTCAATTGAATCTTGGCATTATAGAATTTTACAGTACAGAGGGAGACCATTTGAACCATTGTGTCGGTACCGACTCCCAAAGGAGCTATCCAGCTAGTCCCATTCTCCAGCTCTATCTCCACAGCCCTCTAAATTTATCACTCTCAACCATATATCTAGCTCTCTTTTGAAACCTCCTATGGAATCCACCCCCACCGCTCTACCAGACAGCACCTTCCATATCCTGAGTAAAGAAGTTTCTCCTCATCTCAATCCTAGCTCTCTTGCTGACAATCTTGAAATTGTGACCCCCTAGTTATTGGCATACCAACTAGTGCAAACTGAATATCCTTCGTCACCCTGTCAAAATTGTTCATAATCTTGAACACCTCAATAAGGTCACTGCTCCAAGGAAAATATGTCCAATTTCTCTAATCTTTTCTTGTACTAAAAATCCCTCAATCCTGGTATCATTCAAGTAAATTTCCTTTGAACTTTCTCCAGGGCTTTAACAGCTTTCCTCAAATAATGTGCCCAGAACTGAACACAGTATTCCAAATATGGTCTGACCAACGAGTTGTGGAGGTGCAGCGTCACTTCCTTGCTTTTATAACCTAGCTTCTAGTTTTAAACCCAAGGATCTTATAAGCCTTCTTAACACCTGTTTCATCTTGTCTGGCCACCTTCAGCAAATCATGCACGTAAACCCCAAGGCCCCTCTGCTCCTGTACTCCCCTTAAACTTGTACAATTGAGCTTGTATTTTCTGTCTGTGTTTCTTCTACCAAAATACATTACCTACATTTCTCTGCATTAAAAGTCATCTGCCAGGTGTTTGTCCATTTGGCTAATTTGACAATGAGCCTCTGAAGTCGCTCAGCATCATCCTCAAAATTCACTGTTCTCCCCAGCTTAGTATCATCTGCAAATTTAGAGATTTGCCCTCACCATCCATCTTCAAATCATTTATATAAATCAATAAAAGCAAGTGTTCCCAACACTGATCCCTGGGAAACACCACTTTCAACTAATCTCTAATTGCTTGGACTAATAATGTGTAAATGCGAGTTCAATTCCTACCATGGCAGCTGCGGAATTAAAATTCAAGTAATTAAACAAATCTAAATCTAAAACAACTAGCATTGGTAACAGCAACCATGTGGCTACCAGACTGTTGTATGAGCCCATCTGGCTCACTGATGTATGTTTGGAAGTAAATCTGCTGTCCTTAGCTTCTTTGCTATATGTGACTCCAGACGCACTGAAATGTGGTTGTTTCTTAATCTCACTAGTGAGCCAGTCTATTCAAAATGGTGGCTCGCCATAATTTCAAAATGCAATGGTGATTACTGATGAAACAGTAATATAATTTTTAAAAATTCTTGATTGGGATATACTTTGGAAAAAATACAGATCTACTCAATGCGACAACTATCTGTATATTTTTTCCAGCTCAAAAAACTCATTTCTTAGCACAGTGATGGTTTATATTGGAATAATCACACTCCATGCTTGCCAACCTCTGCATCTGAAACTGCTATAAAATAGTTTTATTAATGTAAATGGAAATGGCTGATTGGCAGCATCCGATTAACCATTTAAGGTTTGCAGCAGCATGTTTTTTCTGTAAAGTTCACTCTGTTACAAATGTATACTTGCTTTGATGCACTACCAGGAAGGAAATTCTTTGTAATTCAGATAGTTCTCTGTTTTTACTCAATATCTGAGGCAAATTTCCAAAAATTATTTTGAAGTCACTGAGAAAATGAACGCAAAAGGAGACTTGAAAGAGAAATTGCTCAAGAAATTACACCTATTTAAAATTGTGTACCTGTTACTTTCCTATTTTCATCAGTAAACTGATCAGCATAGATCTCATTACATTGCATTAGCAGTAGACCATTCAATCCTTTGAGTCTGCTATTCTGCCAGTCAGGTCATGGCTCACCTTTGCTCCATATACCTTGATACACTTACCGAGCAACAAAGCATTTATATATGCCTTTAACGTGTCAGCTGGCCCAAATAACACAATCTTGGAGTGAGGGACAGTCTGGAGTGGGAAAGGTTCAGGGAAAAGTTTTAGTATTGCACTGTCCTTGTTGAAAAAAGAATGCTTCCTGTCTAACTCCTGCTTACCACACGCAAGTATGATACATACATGAGTACACTGACAATGCTGAACCTAAAGGACTGCCTATATCAACATTATCACAAGGGCAAAACATCTCTTTTCACTTATTCTTCTTCCCTAACTACTCTTTAAGTTATCTTTGTTGCTGTTTTGATTGTAACAGCACTAAATGTATTTTTGTTTATTTTACAGTGCTAGTTTTTAAAAAAATTATTTTCATTGCAGTGTTCCAATCTCTCTCACTGCAATCACGTAATTATTTACCCAATCCTTACAGACTGTTGTGGGAGCTAAAAGCTGGTAAATTGCTAAATAGACTAAAAGTAGACTTTCACAAGCATCGGTAGTAATAGGAATACCATACAACAGAAAAGCTAAACATTGCAATAAGAAGACTAGAAGGTGAAACTCTTAATCTTGCATACAATATAAATGTGCACTGGAGCTTGGACCATAAGCAGTAGTTCAAGGTATACAGCCTTGTAGTGATCGAGCATCAAGTTAAGATTAACAATGAGGGAAGATTTTGAAGCACCCCGAATACAGTATTTCATGGTAGAAGTGTTACAGTATGCCAGAGAAATCAGTAGGCACTTGAATTGGGTTATCAGTATTCTGTCATCAATCATGTCCGCAGATTTTGGTACTACCACCCAGCAAAAACTGAGAATACTGTATAGGGTGCAGGCTAGTCGATGACACTGCTGTGTGATCTGGTTCAGGGATAGCAAGAGTCAGTTTGAACCTGAATGGCAATCAAGATTATATCCTTTCTGTCTCTTTCCAGGCTAGCATAAGGGTGGCATGGTGGCTCAGTGGCTCAGTGATTAGCACTGCTGCCTCACAGCTCCAGGGTCCCGGGTTCAATTCCACCCTCTGGCGACTGTCTGCGTGGAGTTTGCACATTCTCCCTGTGTCTGTATGGGTTTCCTCCGGGTGCTCCGGTTTCATCCCACAGTCCAAAGATGTGCTGGTTAGGTGAATTGGCCATGCTAAGTTGCCCGTAGTGTTCAGGGGTGTGTAAGTTAGGTGGATTAGACATGAGGGATGCAGGGTTACAGGGAAAGGGTAAGGGGATGGGTCTGGGTAGGATGCTGTTCGGAAGGGCGGTGTGAACTTGTTGGGCCAAATGGCCTGTTTCCACACTGTAGGGATTCTATGATCAGTAGCAGCATTTGTCAATTCCTTGTCCATTGATGCACCAAACAAGTGACTGATGCTCTGGTCAGGACTTTCAGTTCCTTTCTGACTGACTGTGCATTGCCACCACATTATTGCATTTTGGAAAGCAAAGCATCATTGATGAGATTTTAATATCCAACTCAGCATCGAGTTCCTGATCCTCTTCCTCAGCCTGATTGCATATACATTGCGACTGACCAAATGATAAAACCTGCAAGCTCACTGCTTACGATTACTTAGATGCCTGTTATTATGCAAACATTGATACAGGGTGATGTGAGGCTCTGTCTTGTATTGGGTCACCGATACTGCTGACAGATTGTTTTCATAGGTCTACTATGACAGAAAAAGGACCAATGTTGGAATGCTGGCTCCAAAACACATTGTCAAACACAGCTCATATTACATGTTTATTAACTGTGAATGGCACTGGTGCAAATGCTTGTGTTAAATCTGGACCATAATAGCATCAAACTTAGAATACAACTGTTTCATCTATTTATGATCAATATTAAACAATGCTTTATTCCAACACGAAAATAAGTGTATGAACAAAAGGATCTTTTGTACAGAAAATTGAGGGCTCCTGAAATCCGAGAGAGAGAGAGAGAGAGAGAGAGAGAGAGTGTGAGTGAATGACAGAAAGCGAGAAAAGTAAAAGAAAGAGAGAAAAGGCTATCTTTAAATGGTGGAGGACAGGTAATGGAAGGTCATTTTACAGTGTTTGGGAAATGCCTCCCTAGCACAAGTTACCAATTCTAGTACATAAGGGGTGAGACCAGAGCTTGGGAAAGAACAATGTAGTCACTATCAAGCAGGAGCATGACTTGTAAAATACTGCAGATGCTGAAAATCTGAAACAAACACAGAGAATGCTGGAGAAACTCAGCAGGTCTGGCAGCATCTATGGAGAGGAAAATAAAGTCAACATTTTAAGTCTAATATGACTCTAGCTCAGTGTGTGACTTTGCTGGTAGATACATGGCATTGACACCAATATTAACTGGGTTGCAGCATTCACTTACACCAATCTCAAACGGTCCTGTGAAATAATCCAGATTAGCTTGAATGAACCAGATGTTGTTTAATTTAAGGTCATCACACCTGTCCTTGGCACGTATTAGGGATTCTCCTTTGTTTTCCACTAAGATCACCTGGAATGTAGGACAATATTTAATAAGTGAGAATCTCATCTCAAGAGATAGTAGGAACTGCAGATGCTGGAGAATCCGAGACAACAAGGTGCAGGGCTGGATGAACACAGCAGGCCAAGCAGCATCATAGGAGCAGAGAGGCTGACGTTTCGGGCCTAGACCCTTCATCAGAAAAGGGGGAGGGGAAGGGGGTTTTGAAATAAATAGGGAGAGAGTGGGAGGCGGATAGAAGAGGGATAGAGGAGAGGATAGGTGGAGAGGAAACAAACAGGTCGAAGAGGCGGGGATGGAGCCAGTAAAGCTGAGTGTAGGTAGGCCTCCCAGTTGCCATAAACAACTGCACCTCCCAGTCGCGATAAACAACTGCACCTCCCAGTCGCGAACCATTTCAACTCCCCCTCCCATTCCTCAGACGACATGTCCATCCTGGGCCTCCTGCAGTGCCACAACGATGCCACCCGAAGGTTGCAGGAACAGCAACTCATATTCCGCTTGGGAACCCTGCAGCCCAATGGTATCAATGTGGATTTCACAAGTTTCAAAATCTCCCCTCCCCCTACCGCATCCCAAAACCAGTCCAGCTCGTCCCTGCCTCCCTGACCTGTTCTTCCTCCCACCTATCCCCTCCTCCCACCTCAAGCCGCACCTCCATCTCCTACCGACCAACCTCATCCCACCCCCTTGACCTGTCCGTCCTCCCTGGACTGACCTATCCCCTTCCCAACTCCCTACCTACACTCACCTTTACTGGCTCCATCCCCGCCTCTTCGACCTGTTTGTTTCCTCTCCACCTATCCTCTTCTCTATCCCTCTTCTATCCGCCTCCCACTCTCTCCCTATTTATTTCAAAACCCCCTTCCCCTCCCCCTTTTCTGATGAAGGGTCTAGGCCGGAAACGTCAGCCTCTCTGCTCCTATGATGCTGCTTGGCCTGCTGTGTTCATCCAGCCCTGCACCTTGTTATCTCATCTCAAGATTAAGTTTTTAAGGCATTAAGAACAAACTTTGGCTCCAAGCATATTTTAATATAGATTATATGAAAGCACACCAGCCTGCAAAAGAACACCATGCATACATTCCCTGTAGGCAGTGTTAGGAGTCAAGGGAGACCACTGGCCAATTGTAGTAAGACTCTGTGGAAGATATTCAGGGTGTCGTAATCAATGGGCTAATTTCGAACCTTAACTGTGTTTGATTGCTCAGATTGTTCAGTTACATACAAAGTTGGTGTTGGAGACTGGAAACATTCTGATCAATAGCTGGAAAAGTTGATGCCTGCATGGGTATATTCACTGAGTATTACCATTTGATGGTGCAAAAAAATGGGCAATTATGACGTGTAACTATTGTACTGCTAATTAGGCAAAGCAGTTCCAGAATAACATATCTTCAGCTTTTGAAGCTAAAGATCGTACCAAAATAAATAGTTTGTTATTGCCATCTTTTCTTTGAACTGCTTGCTTTTGAGGGACATTCTCAGCCTTTTGTATATTATCTAGCAGCATTTTGAGTTTGGTAGTCTAGCAAGTACATAGGCAACAATGGACTTTCATGTATTCTGAAACTGGATTATGAGGAAAGTTGAAGAGAGATCATTCAGTAAAAATGCTCTTCCTGGATAGAACGTAAAAGGAGAAAGGTGATTGTCAGTCCAGCAACTTTTATTCATGTCTGAATCAAAGATACCAGCATACAACTTGGCCTGAAGCCAAAAGTATAAAACAACAGATCAGACGCCCAGCAGCATTAAAAGAAAATGTTGGCACAACTTCACAATGGAGCTTTAGCTGTTTTCTGCAGCAAACAGTGAATGTATTTGGTCTGATTATTGCCACATGAATTTCTTACATCTTTTCACAGAATTTTTATCCCTTGTTCTAATTTTCATATTGATGCAAGCCTGTTTCAAAATATCGTACCTGGCATAATGGCAAAGTGTGAGCAAGAACAATCCCCACATGTCCCTGTGAACAGAGGAGAAGCAACTGAGTCAATCAGTGGACCACAACATAATATGAGATCAGACCCGCATACTTTTGTGAAAGCATATTCCTTTGGATATCTGGCAATTGAATTCTTGAGGTCTTATGCTTTGTAGGGTACAGAATGAAGTTGAGCCACTTAGCATCTGTGGAAAGAGAAACAGAGTTAACATTTCAAGTCCGGTAGGACTTGAGTTCAATGCATGACAGATGCTTCCAACCTCAGTGGGCAAATATCGAGTACAAATTGGTCCAAAAACTCCGTTCATAGAAGTGGGATCGTCAACTACAAATTTTGGATCACTTTTTTTTCTTTCAATAAAAGGCATTTATCCTATTTTGCTCCACAGTAATTGAGCTGCAAATAAAATTACATACTCAGAAATCGCAAATTTCACAGCCATGCACTCCAACAGCTTGATGAACAGTGAGCATTGTGAATTACAGAATAATCCATTAAGTTGGAAAACTGCAACAGAAGAAGCCATTCAGTCCCCGTTTGATCTGTATATCAACTCTGGTCACCCACTTTTGCTCTGTGGCATAAAAAAATTAAACCTTTTTTTTAAACTAGAGTTAGATGCAAAGTTTAAGCCATTTTGAAACAATCTAGCTGCCTGTAATATCCCTTACAGAAACCTGTATAAAGAATTATCACAATTGGCTGGTTTCAGTATTTATGTAAGTTTGTTATATTTGTAAATTTGATTTTTGGAATGCAAATGATGAGGCAACTTCTTTGCACCAACTACTTTAATACAAAAATAATTGAGTATTTTACTGTAGCTGTAACATTTAAAGCAAACAGATTGTGTCTATCAATACAACAGTGAAAGAAAGAAATTGCATTGATATAACACTTTTATAACCTCAGGATATCCCGATAAAATTATTAAAGCACTTTTGAAATGTAGTCACTACCATAATGTAAGAAATGGAAGAGTCAATTTGTGGGGAGCCAGTCCCACAAACACCAAAATGCTAATGACTAGATAATACTCCAAAGTAATGTTGGTTGAGAGGTATTAGACAGTGCTTCCTCTCATTTCCTGAAAATCATGTCACAAGATATATCCTGTTCATCTGGGAGGCCAGAGAGTAGCTTTAGTGTCTCATCTGGAAGATGTTACCACTGGTATCCACTAGTACTGTCTTGCATTGTCATTCCAGATTTTGTAACCAAGTCCTGGAAATGGACTTGAACCCATAACCTAATGACTTGGGTCGCTGTTGGGAACCACTGTGCACTCAATGTAATGCAACAATAGCAATGCCATATTTTTAAAAATTACATACCCCACCACTGCAGAAATCTACAATAGTATCACCAGGCTTGGCTAATTTGGTCACAATGGAGATGATGTTGTCCAACTGTTGCTGCTTCCGTAGGGCACGCTCGCATGAGAGCCTTCCTGCAAGGAGAATCCAATGTAGAACAAATAGAATTTTAGCCTAAAAGTCAGGCAGATTTCCACTTAACAAGTGCCTCACATTTCCAGTTCCCTCCAGCCACTGCTGCACTCTGCATCAACAGAATGATAAAGGTAAGCTGCCTAGTATTTCAAGTTTCTAAACTTAGCAAGTAATGTTTCTAAAAATGTCAAGTTTACAATGAATACTTTGAAAAAATGATCAACCATAACAGCAGGATAATTAGCTACAAAAGCTTGGGTCGAATGTTGTCTTTTGAAGAAACATTGATGGATTTTCACTATAATTAATGATAGGCAGATGCAAATTCTCAGAAATCATATATTTAACACACATTTATTCTTACAACATCTCATCAGCAAGGCATTAATTAAAACGTTTCAGAGGATGAAGACTTAACTGAGTGCTGATTATTGGAGTGTAAACAAAGTAGCTGCACATTCAAATACTGCTATGAGTCAATTCAAACACTTGAGATGGAATTTTCTTCCTTTTTGGATAAGTGGGATGGTGGGTGCGTTAGGTATCAATTAACTTACCATTCACACTACCAAGATAATACCTGACTTTGTGCCAATAAAGATGTTAAAACTTGACAGGTGAGTAGGGGTAAGTTTCTCGGCAAATCACAGGCCTCAACACTAGCCAGCAGCTTCTGTTGACCTGGGATGCCAATGAGAGGTCAGCAGCTTCTTGGTCCTAAGCACCATCAGTCAGTACGCTTTAGGGGATCCAGCAGTGAGAAGGGAAGCGACATTTTTCTTCTTGTTGAAGGATGACAGTCGTATGGAGAGAGGGATATGGGAGGGATCAGAGGGTACAGGAATGGGTGGCTTTCAGAAGCCGCACCTTGCTCCTATTTGTACCTGCAATTTTCCCAAAATTGGAACAGATGGAGACACAAGCCAACCCAGCAGGTAGGTCATCTGGTTATCCAGCCTAGCCACCTTTCCTATCAGCCAAGGAGGCAGATAATTGGGAAAGTGGTGAGCTGAGACCATTAAGTGACCATTGATTGACCACTTAAGGGTGTTAATTTATAGTGGATGGTCTACAGGTCTTCTCAGGCTGAACGTAATTGTTGAGTTGGCAACAAGTGACAAACCAACTCACCTCATTATTTCCCTTTCTCATCATCTCCAGGGAGCTGGAATTTCACCTTTGATTTATTCTAGTAACATAGGAACTCTGATATGGAATTCAACCACTCAAGCCTATTTCCCCATTCTGTTAGATCAATAATTGATCTGCACCTCAACTCCATTTAGCCAGTTTTGCTCCAAATAACCTGATACTCACTCACTTATTGAAGATCCGCACGGCCCAATTGCTAGTCCACTGAACATTGGCTAGAATGGTAAAATATTATTGCACAACTTATTTATTCTTTTAATAGGAGACTACAGACAACCAGCATTGATTAAGGTGTTTTTGAAAAGATTTTTTGGCTGCTGCGTGGAGTTTTGCACTAAAATATAGATAAGCAGAAGCAGGAGCCAAAATATTTAATCTGCGAGATAACCTCCTTCACCCCACCCCCATCACCTGAGATCTCCAAATTATCAGACGTTACCACATACAACTTTCAACATTGTTATCTGCATAATTTCCACAAAACAGCAGCAATCTGACTATTGTTCATACCTCCTCACAGCACTCACATGCTTATAACTTTTCCTTATAATGTTATCCTTAATTGGCCATTTATGTGCCAATTTTTGATTGATCCACTTTTGATTAGAGTATTTCTATGCAGGAATTCTTCTGCTGCTTTGTCTTATCTGAAGTTCATTAATTTTGCTTAGCAGTTCAATCATCACAGTCCGAATTCATTAATCTATCTTAAATTTCACATCATCTTTCGGATGGAGTAAGTCAGTGGTGGCGAGAAAAATTCAACTTTAGAAAGAGCACAAAACAGATAGTGATGAACAAATTGATCAGATTTATCTCCTTTTGCATGTAACCAGTGCTCAATTTGCATTTGCCAAACCTACATCCACCACACATGGTGAGAAAGTGGGAGGTTAAATTTTGTTTGGGTTGTAAAACAGGCTGAGCCAGAATGGAAAATTCTGCCTGTAATAAAAATGTTCTCATTTGCACAGTCAGCAGTGAAATAATCTAGCTTCTTGATTAACAGCCAACTAATCAGTCAGTCATGTGGCTGTGGAAATATATCAGCGTATGGTATTACTTACTTCCTAGTTTTTATTCTATTAACAGTTTTATAGTAACTGTATAGTAACAGTAATGTTATAGTATAAAATTTTCAACAACAGTAGGCCTTTATACATAACTACATAACATAGGAGCTGACGTGGGCCATTCAGCCCATCGGGTCAGCTCTGCAATTCACTGAGATCATGGCTAATCTGATAATACTCAACACCACTTTCCTGTTATTCCCCCTTAACACTTGATTCCCTTAGTGATTAAAAATCTGTCCATCTCAGCCTTAAATATATTTAAAATACATCCTTAACAACCCTTTATGGTAAAGAATTTCACAGATTCTGAAAGAAGAACTTCCCCCTTATCTCTGTCTTAAATGGCAACCCTTTACTCTGAGGTTATGCCTTCTGGTTCTTGTGTAGTGCCTTTAATGTAGTATGAAGTCCCAGGAATATAACAGGAATAGCGGTTGAATAAATTAATGCTTCTGAAGGAGTTAATGCTTATGTTACATTGAGCTCTGCTCAACCTGAAACTGTCACAGTCTATGGGTAGAGAGAGCTGAGTTGTGCATAAGTACTCAAAGGGAGCACAGACATTCTGAACAGTTCCTGAATGCCCTCAGCAATTATGTCTAGCAAGTTAATATAAAATGTAGCTCTTGCAACATGCAATAAATTACCTTCTTATTTAAGACAAGTGCCTCTTCTGTTTAGATTAACCACTGGTTTATCTGCTATCATTGATAATTAGGCAGGCCCTGGACACAACATAGTGAAAAGAGATTTAGAACTTAGGACAGTACAGCACAGTACAGGCCCTTCGGCCCACGATGTTGTGCCGACCAATTATCCTACTCTAAGATCAAACTACTCTGCATACCCTACATTTTACTATTATCCATGTGCCTATCCAAGAGTCACTTCAATGTCCCTAATGTATCTGACTCCACTACCACCGCTGGCAGCGCATTCCACACACCCACCACTCTCTGTGTGAAGAACTTAGCTCCGACATCTCCCCTACACCTTCCTCCAATAACCTTAAAATTATGCCCCATCGTAATAGTCATTTCCGCCCTGGGAAAAAATCTCTGGCTATCCACTCTATCTATGCCTCTCATCATCTTGTACACCTCTATCAAGTCACTTCTCATCCTTCTTCACTCCAATGAGAAAAGCCCTAGCTCCCTCAACCTTTCCTCATAAGACCTGCCCTCCAGTCCAGGCAGCATCCTGGTAAATCTCCTCTGCACCCTCTCTAAAGCTTCCATATCCTTCCTATAATGAGGTGACCAGAACTGAACACAATATTCCAAGTGTGGTCTAACCAGAGTTTTATAGATCTGCAGCATAACCTCACGGCTCTTAAACTCAATTCCCCTGCCAATGAAAGCCAACACACTATATGCCTTCTTAACAACCCTATCAACTTGGATGGCAACTTTGAGGGATCTATGGACATGGACCCCAAGATCCCTCTGTTCCTCCACACTGCTAAGAATCCTGCCATTAATCCTGTATTCTGCATTCAAATTTGACCTTCCAAAATGAATTCCATCTGCCACTTTTTTGCACTGCTCTGCATCCTGTCAATGTCCCGTTGCAACCTATAACAGCCCTCCACACTATCCACAACTCCACCAACCTTCATGTCATTGGCAAACTTACTAACCAACCCCTCCACTTCCTCATCCAAGTCATTTATAAAGATTACAAAGAGCAGAGATCCCTAAACAGATCCCTGCGGAGCACCACTGGTCACCGAGCTCCAGGCTGAATACTTTCCATCTACTACCACCCTCTGTCTTCTATTGGACAGCTAATTCTGTATCCAGACAGCCAAATTTCCCTGGATCCCATGCCTCCTTACTTTCTGAATGAACCTTATCAAATACCTTGCTAAAATCCATATACACCACATCCACTGCTGTACCTTCATCAATGCGTTTTGTCACATCCTCAAAGAATTCAATAAGGCTTGTGAGGCAAGATGTGCCCCTCACAAAGCCATACTGACTATTTCTAATCAAAACTGTGCTTTTCCATATAGTCATAGATAATATCTCTCAGAATCTTCTCCAATAATTTGCCCACCACAGAAGTAAGACTGACTGGTCTGTAATTCCCAGAATTATCCTTATTCCCTTTCTTGAACAAGGAAATAAAATTTTCCACCCTCCAATCATCTGGTACTACTCCAGTGGACAACGAGGATGCAAAGATCATCGTCAAAGGCATGGAATCTCTTCCTTTGCTTCCTGTAGAAACCTTGGGTATATCCCATCTGGCCCAGGGGACTTATCAATCCTCATGTTTTTTTTAAAATTTCTAGTACATCCTCCTTCCTAACATCAATCTGTGCGAGCATATTAGCCTGTTTCACGCTGTCCTCACAAACTACAAGGTCCCTCTCACTGGTGAATACTGAAGCAAATTATTCATTAAGAACCTCTCTTACCTCCTCCAACTCCACGCACAAGTTCCGTCCACCACCCCTGATCGGCTCTACCCTCACTCTGGTCATCCTCTTGTTCCTCACATCAGTATAGTGTGCCTTGGGGTTTTCCTTAATCCTACTCACATTGGCTTTTTCATACCCCCTTCTAGCTCTCCTAAGTCCATTCTTCAGTTCCTTCCTGGCTAATTTGTAACCCACTAGAGCCCTGTCCGATCCTTGCTTCCTCAACCTTAAGTAAGCTTCCTTCTTCCTCTTGACTAGATGTTCCACATGTCTTGTCATCCAAGGTTCCTTCACCTTACCATCCTTTCCTTGCATCAGTGGGACAAACCTATCCAGCACTCGT